TTTCAAAACATTTATCCAGAGAATGCAATTTAAAGCAGAGATGGACAAATGATACTTTTCCTATTGATGTAAATGTATTTTATTGTCTTTAAATTAGAATCTCTGTAGAACCATAGGCTGTCCCCAAAATTTTCAATTGTTTAAAATTGTAGTGCTGAGAACAATTGTCAAACTGATGACTCGAGATAAAAATCCTTAGAATGATTTTCCCACTTCCCACCCTTCAGTATCATACCTTGCTGCTGAGAGTTTTATTTAGAATAAGCAATATTACAGAAGAGATGTATGATTTCTATTAAATATTAAAATTGAGTACTTAGAGATTTAATCTAATCGAAAGAATACTTTTAACCAGAATACCGCATCTCCCCAAACCTCAATAATTCCAGCTAATTGAAGCATCATTAAACCCTTTGCCATCAAGTGGATTTCAACTCATAAGGATCCCATGTAACAGAGTAGATCTGCCCCATAGGGTTTTTTCCTAGGCTGTAATCTTTATGGGAGCAGATCGCCAGGTCTTTCTCCTACGGAGCTGCTGGGTGGGTTCAAACCACCAACCTTTTGGTTAGCAGCCGAGCGCTTAACCTTTGCACCACCAGGGCCCCTTCTGTGTATAATAAAACCAAAGAAACCCAAACTCATTGCTGTCAATTCTGACTCACAGTAACCCAAAAGGACAGAGTAGAACTGTCCCATAGGGCTGTAATTTTTACGGAAGCAGATTGTCACATCTTTGCCTCAGAGTGGCTGGTGGGTTTGAACCGCCACCCTTTTAGTTAGCAGCCAAGCACTTGACCACTGCGAGCCCTGGTGGCACAGTGGTTAAGCACTTGACTGCTAACTGAAAAATCGACAGTTTGAACCACCAGCTGATCTGCTTCCATAAAGACTTATAGCCTTGAAAACCCTATGGGGCAATTCTACTCTGTCTGATAAGGTCACTATGAGTCAGAATCAACTAGATAGCCGTGGGGTTTTTTCTGTGTATAATAGGCACCAGTTAATGTTTGTTAAAGTTTTTAATGCAGCCGTTCACTGAACAAGCTTACTGAGGAGCTCCTGTCTGTGTTAGACAGGAGGAAAGAGGGATGGAGGAGGAATACAAAGATGAATCAGACGGCCCACCGCTCCTGTAATACAAGGGAAATGAAGGACAGGTAGCATTTTAAGTGAATTTGGAGGCATCAAAAGGAAAATTTTCAATTCATTTTCCAGTGGAATTACTGAACGTGCCTGCATAATGCCAGGTTCTTCAAATGCCAAAATCTGTAGTCCAGGCTTCTAGCACTCTTGGTCCAGAAGGAAAATCCATTCCTTTACAGTGGGAAGGGGGAGGGGAGTGTGCTGGAAGCAGGGCATTGTTGTTGTCGTTAGGTACTGTTTGTTTGGTTCTGACTCCTAGAGACCCTGTGTACCACAAAATGAAACACTACCCAGTCCTGTGCCTTCCTCACAATCGTTGCTATACTGGAGCCCGTTGTTGCAGCCATTGTGTCAATCCATCTCGTTGAGGGTCTTCATCTTTTTTGCTGACCTTCTACTTTACCAAGCATGATGTCGTCTCCAGAGACTGGTCCCTCCTGATAACATGTTCAAAATATGTTTTTCAAAGTCTCCCATCCTCGCTTCCAAGGAGCATTCTGGCTGTACTTCTTCCAAGACAGATTTGTTTATTCTTGTTCTTTGCCAAGAATGTTCAATATTCTTTGCCAACAACCATAATTATTCAAAGGCATCACTTCTTCTTCAGTCTTCCTTATTCATTGCCTAGCGTTCACATGCATATGAGGTGATTGAAAATACCATGGCTTGAGTCAGGCGCGCCTTAGTCTTCAAATTGACAACTTTGCTTCTTAACACTTTAAAGAGATCCTTTGCAGCAGATTTGCCCGGTGCCATACATTATTTGATTTCTTGACTGCTGCTTCCATGGGCGTTGATTGTGGATGCAAGTAAAATGAAATCTTTGACAATTTCAATCTTTTCTCCGTTTATCATGATGTTACTTAATGGTCCAGTTGTGAGGATTTTTGTTTTCTTTATATTGAGGTGTAATTGATACTGAAAGTTGTAGTCTTTGATCTTCATCAGTAAGTGCTTCAAGTCTTCTTCACAACAGGGCATGGCTGATGTTTTCTGAAGAAGAAATGCTTCTTCTAATTATTCACCTCCGAGAGGGTTGTGACTGTTTGCATATCCTGTTTCACTATCTCTTTAAAGGAGGAAGAATCTGCCACTGGCAGCTGGCAGGCTGGTTTGGACTGACACATAAAACACAGTTCCCTGCAAACCGTACAAATAAATTGACAGGGTGCTACTGTTGTCATGGAGATCAAAAGAGGCCATTTCTTAAAGGAATTGGGGGTTGGGAGATATTTGGAGGCTGGAGGAAGGGCCCTGGGAAAGATGAAAGAAGGTTGTTTGGAGAGAGTGCAGGACAGACAAAAAAGCCTGGGCTGAAAAGGGCAGAGAACATTCCACAGATGACAGAGAAAAGAGATAAATGAAAAGAAAGCGAGATTGTTACTAGATCCAAAGATAAATGACAGAAGAGTAAAATTCAGTGCGGAAAAACAATTAATCATTACCTGAGAGAGGTGAGCCCTCCTCTTGGAGTTGTAGTCCATTCAAAGGGATTTGAGAATAAGTGAAAACAGAATACTCACTTCTGAAGGCAGTCTACAAATACAACATTTTCTTGCATGGAAATGTACTTAGATTGTTGGATACTTGAATACACAATGGAAGAGCTCCCTCTCCTGCTTTTTTTCCCCCCCATGTTTTCCAAAGTTATCTTTTAATATGTATTAAAAGGACTGGTTGCCAGGTGACGTTTGCTATCACTCTGTGGGTCTGTTTTGGTTGCTCTTTACTGTAAAAAATATCTAACCTGCTGACTGGCATTAGGTAGCAAGCTCTCTTTCTGGACTCCTTGTTTGAAGAGGGAAAAATAAATTGGCTCTTCAGAAGCTATTTTCTCCCCTGATTTAAAAAACAAAAACAAAAAAGTTGCCTTTGAGTCAATGCCAACTCACGGCGACCCCATGTGTGTCAGAGTAGAACTGTGCTCCGTAGGGTTTCAATGGCTGATTTTTCAGATGGGACCTGGGAAATGAAGCATGACGATTCCAAATCCTGCCTCCATCCCTCATCATTTATGGACACCATGTCAGGTGAGAGCATGAAAGCCATGTCGTGCTCTAGTTGAATCCACACATCAGGCTGTTGCACAGTATTCCTCTGCACTAGCCAACCCAGGCCTTTCAGCCAACAGCTCAGTCATGTCTGGAGTGCAGACATCTCTCCTGACCTTACACCCTTTCCGTTAGACCTCTGTGCAGTTAGATTATAGACCCGCAACTAAGATCACTTACCCAGCACGTTTCGTGTCATACCTCATATTTGCTTAGAATCATCCTCTTCTCTGTCTACAGTAACATTTTCCAAGAATGTCCACTGTGTAGAAGCCATGATTTGGACAAGGGGAGAGAAGTGTATGAGATTGCAAGCATGTTTGTGGGAAGGTCCCTGTACTCCAGGGGCTTGTAGTCAAGTTTCTGGAAACCAGACATTGACTATGGAATGGTGGTCATAAGAGGAGGTGAAAGTGATTAGTTACCACTGAATTGATGGAAGATCAGTGAGTGCCAGTGGAGACCAGTGAAAGGAGAGGTTTCCCTGGGGGTGGAGACCATGTAAGAAAGCGTCCCTGGTGAGTTAAATGTTGAGCTGGTCCTTGGAGAATGAGTAGGGTTTTGATAGTTGGAAGGGGGAAGAAGGGCATTGTCTCATGGGGGCTTTGTTAACATGCGAAAAGGTAAGAGAGTTGGAATGCCCATGTTTCTTCAGGCAGTCAGAGAGGAACCCTGGTCAGCTAACCAATATCCAGGGGACATTATTCTGGAAAGACTTTGCCAGGGCTCAGTTGTCACAACAGGAGCAGCCGAGATGAGAGGAGAGAGAGGGTGTGGTCAAAGAGGTTTCTTAGAAAATTATCTTCTCCAGTATCATGTAATACAGATTCAAAATATGTTTCAAGGTTCTTACCTCATTTCTTTTTATTCTTCCTATCCCACCATTAGCCCAATCTACTTAGTTCCATGAAAGCTAATCATAATTTTTTACCCAGTTTATCAATTGTTCTTCAGTACTATTTAACTTTGTATTCTATAAGTGCCTTCCCCATTAAGCTGTCTTCTCTACCCACTCCAGCCAACCATTTCCCTTTATTCCAAGTTTATTTCAGAAGTAGAGAATGAATTCTCATCTGCCTATCAGTAGACATATGCTTGAAGCAGAAATGTGTAAGACATTATCAAAAACATTCTTTTTCAAGTAAAGTATATCACTTGCAAATTGGTCTTTGGGTTATAAGAAGTCCACTGCCAGACAAACAGGTTAATGTGGCTCCATTAATCCACAGTCCCCTGCCCGCACTTGTCCGTACAACTCAACTTGAGCTTCCAGGGTCACTTTCAAAAAACTTTGTAACTTTTGCACAACAATCCCTAAAATATCCTACACTTAATGTATAAGATCCCTGCATTTATGGATATTTTTAAGAGATCTGTGTTTTCTAATATAAAGTCAGGATTTCTTTAATTTTAACAAATCTAAAAATGCAAATCTGACTATCCAGCCTACAATTTTCATAGAATTTCCAACTTTGCCTAGTATAGTTATAATGTTTGTTTGCAAAAAGAAGAAAAGTTATTTAAGACTTTGTGATGTTATTTTTAGGGTGTTATAAAATAATGGTTAAAACTAAATACAACTATTAAATAGACCTGGGATAGAATTCCAACTCTACATTTACCTTAACAAAGAGGTTTTAAATTCTTTGACCTTCTGTTTCTTCATCTGTAAAGAAGGGTAATGAGACTTCTTGGGGTCATTGTGAGGGCAAATAGGAATATATATATGGCAGCTATTACACTGGAAAAAGCAAGTGTTCAATAAGTGGTGGTGGCAAGTGATAGTGGTAATTGTGATAACAGTCATGTTGGTGCTGGAGGTAGTGATGGTGGTGGTGCAAGTGGAGACGGTGGTAGTAGTATTGATGGTAGTGATGGAAGAGGTGGTGGTGATGTTGGTGGAGATGGTGATAGTGATAGTAGTAGTGATGGAGGAGGTGGTGGTGATGTTGGTAGAGGTGGTGGTAGTGATGGAGGAGGTGGTGGTGATGTTGGTGGAATGGTGATAATGATGGTGGTAGTGATGGAGGAGATGGTGGTGATGTTGGTGGAGTTGGTGATAGTGATAGTAGTAGTGATGGAGGAGGTGGTGGTGATGTTGGTAGAGGTGGTGGTAGTATGGAGGAGGTGGTGTTGATGTTGGTGGAATGGTGATAATGATGGTGGTAGTGATGGAGGAGTTGGTGATGATGTTGGTGGAGATGGTGGTAGTGATGAAGGAGGTGGTGGTGATGTTGGTGGAGATGGTGGTAGTGACGGAGGAGGTGGTGGTGATGTTGGTGGAGATGGTGGTAGTGATGGAGGAGGTGGTGGTGATGTTGGTGGAGATGGTGGTAGTGATGGTGGTGGTAATGATGGAGGAGGTGGTGTTGATAATGGTGAAATAGTGATATACATGACATTAGTAGCAGTAGTGGTAGTGGTGGAAGAAGTGGTGGTGTTGCTACTGGTGGTAGTAATAATGATGGTTCAGTGGGGGTGATGTTGGTGGTGAGAATTTGTTGATAATGGTGGTCTTCATCATAATGGTGATGGGTTAGGCTATTGTTATTGAAGTAGTAAAATAAATAACCTAATAATAATTTTAGCACATTGTCTTTAAAAAGAACAGCTTTATTAAGCATTAATTAACATAACATAACATTCTTGTTTAAAATGTAAAATTCAGTGATTCTTATTATGTTCACAGAGTTGGGCAACCATTGCCATGTTTTTCCCTCAACATTTTCATCACCCATGAAGAAACCTTAGACCCTTTAACAGTCATTCCCTACTCCTCCATACTCCCTTTCTCAAACTATTTTAAAACCTCGTGGTTTGGGGTCTCAAAAGCTATGGCATTAAAATATGTTTCCTTTATCGGAATCACCTACCACTTCTTTCACAGGTGCGACGACTTATTCTGCACGATAGCGATAGATGGTTTAGAACACTAAACCAAAAACCAAACCCGCTGCCATTGAGTTGATTCCGACTCACAGTGACCCTATAGGATGGAGTAGAACTGCCCCATAGGGTTTCCAAGAAGTGGCTGGTGGATTTGAACTGCTTACCTTTTGGTTAGCAGCCAAGCTCTTAACCGCTACACCACCAGGGCTTACTACTACCTTTAAATAACTCATAATTCTATTCAACATATTTCACTTCAGAATTGGAATATTAACAAAAATGGAGGAGAGCTGTCTTGTTTGTTCCTTATGATAAATACAGTCCCTTAAGTTGTACATTGCAGAGCACATCTAAAAGTATAATAACAAAAAATCTTATCTTATTAGCAGCAGCCAACTGAAGAGTGATTTTAAAAAATAAGTAAATAAATAAACTTAAAACCACAGAAACTGTGTGTACAAAGGTGCTTAATGTAACATTTGTGGTAGAAAGTAAAGTAGAAAACAATGTCCCTAAAAATGGGAAATGGTTAAATAATATGAAAGAGCAACATAATAGAATATGATTTTCAAAGACTGCAAAATAAACATGGGACTATGTTCATAAAATATTAAAAGAAAAAAATCAGACACAAAAATTATACAGAATATGAAGACAGCTGTGTGGGGGAGGGGAGAACTTGCTCAGATAAAAAGGTTTCCATTAGTTAAATAGTCAAAATATGAATAGTGGGTGCATCAGAATAGTGGCTGTATACTTTTATTATAAGCCAATAAAATAATTCTTATACAAAACATTTTGCAGGAGAATCAGATAACCAAAGATAACCTTTATGTCATTCTAGAAAGAGCAGGATAAGAAATTTAGCCCTTCTGAGAAACACGTAAAGAATGTTGTTTACTTTTTAAAAAGAATTGAAACTGAACAGAACAAAAAACATCACTGTTGTCTATCGTAGTTAAGCTAGTTAGAATGTGTTTTCACCCATGGAGAGAAAAAACAGGAAGACTTTTCCACCTGACCTGTGTAATGCAGATCACAGCCATGATTAAACCCCAAACCGAAGGAACTAAACATCAGCCAACAAGCCCTTTTGCTCCTTGGAGAGGATTTAGCTAAATTGGTTGCTCTCGGTAGACATTTGCTTGTAGGCATTTACTTCTTCTGTCTACACATCCCTCTTTACCTGACCGTATTACCCTGTACAGTGATGCTGAGTCAATACCTTAGGGAGGCTTCAAGTCTTACAGCAAGTCACTTGAACAATTAATTAGAATATTTAACTCACTAATTTTTTTAAATGTATAATTTATATTTTGGACACAAGGAGCCCTGGTGGTGCAATAATTAAGTGCTCAGCTGCTGAAAGGTTGGTGGTTCGAACCCACCCAGCAGCTCCATGGAAGAAAGACCTGTTGATCTGCTCCCATAAAGATTACGGCCTACGAAACCCTATGGGGCAGTTCTACTCTGTCACACAGGGTCACTATGAGTGAATCGACTTGACGGCACACAACAACAACAACGCCATTTTGGCCACTGCATTTAACAATAAAAAACTGAAATAGGAGAAATATCTTTGTTTTAAATTTGACTTACAGAAGACTTCCGTTGAGAAATCTGATTTAATGATTAAATGATGTAAATGTAGTTCAGCATATGTTTTCATGTAACTGAATTGTCAAAATCTAACATCTTTAGATCCTCTCAGAACAAAATGAAAAACTGTAGCACATCAAAACAAAAGGAACTCTCACTGTGGATTCAGGAATGCACAAATATTTGCTTATGATAAGAAAGGTGTGGGCTCTTACGTCAGGGAGTAACTGGGCCAATTTGACTAGAGAAATACATTGTTTACATGACTGATTCATTGATAATCTGTTAGCACCGTGTAAATGTACTAATTCAGACTGGTTGTTGAAAAAAGCAACTGGAATCGAAGAAAACCATAAATTAAGAAACTTGCTTTAAAAATGGAACGTGGTTTCACTTCTCTTGTTTA